ATTTACATCTTCACTCGGAATTTATATGCAGTGTTGATGAAATAAAGAAAGATTATGCATTCAATATGCCTACGATGAAACAACTTGAAAATAATACCAACAAGCCTGCATGAAATAAAAAATCAAGGAACTCTTGATTTAATGATGACGATATGAAAAAGAATGTTTGGCATAAAACGAATATTTTAATAAGATTAGTAAAAAAAATCATTAGTATTTTGTTGTCCTTATCTTATAAACCATTGAATTATATTTTCTAATACGAATTTGTATTTATTTTTCTTCATAAAATAATGCTGAATAAAAATTGTTGATGAAACGGAGCCAAATTCATTCGCTTGTTTCTCTTCTTCGAAATAATCAATGTAAAGTAAATTCTCATACAAAAATAATGTTAAGTGGAATTTATTTTTTATCTAATCAACGGTCATTAAATCGTGTAAACCTATTTTAGTAGACTCTTCCCTTTTCGGATGTTAAAATCAAACTTTTTGCGTTTTTAGATACAGTTTTCAAGGGCCCTCTATCAAATGCTTGATAAATGAAGACTCTTCATTGTGAGCTACTACTTTGATTAAACCCAACTATCGAAATTTTTAGCAGAAAAAATTGTGCTGCAATTATTTTTTTTGTATGCAGAACTCTCTTAAGGATTGTTTTTAAAAGTACTGAGAGAATAGATGATAGATCTCTAACACTACTGAACATGGCCATCGTTCGATCACTTCAGTTGAAGAAAAACTTTTGATACATACCACTAAAACATCCACACCCTATATTTTACCGTTGTTTGTTGATTGATTATACAAAATAAGTTCTAGTAAAAACAATATTTTCCTTGATTTTTTATTTCAAATGGAAAGAGATAAAAAAGCATGCACTCCAAACAGTGTCTAGGATCTGTAAAAATAATTCCAGCTCTATCTGACATACTGCAATTGAGAAAGCAAAGCAATTTTTAGCTTTTGCAACCCTAATAGTTTTTAGAACAAAGTATTTTGAAATTTGAATTCCATGACCAGTTTTGTTCTTCTTATCGAGATCCAACTGTCCTGAAAGTTTTAAATACCTTTGATCGGTTACTATTCAGAAGTTCCGAAAAAAAGAAGATTCTCCAAAAAAATATAACTAAAATAATTCGAACAATATATGTTTATAACATCATGAATATCTTTTTAAGCCTTTCTGATAATCATGACTAAGTTATTTTATCATATTTGCATAAATTCTCAAAAAATAAAAATTTGATTTCAAATTTTCAACCTATATCTTCAAATTTTATTAAATATAAATAACTAACAGAATAAATATGTAAACATTTTCTTGAATAAATACAATAACAAAATTATTTACAAATCCAATTAGACAAAAAAAAAAACAAAAAAAATCAATTTTTCTTCATAGCTAATTCAATTTCACGCATACGTCGATTAGCTTTTATTTCAGCTTTAATTGGGCAATATTTCATTGTATGTGCTTGATCACCTGATAAATGACAACGTGGACATATATGAGCACGAAGAATTGGACATAATGTTATCATTTTTTCATTATCACGAAGACGATGTGAAGAATAAATTTCATATGATTCACCATTTGCTTTACAAAATGCACATTCAAGATATTCACCAAATTGTTCACGACGCCAACGAGCTTTTGCTATTAATGATGATAAATCAAATGAAGCTGAACGCAGTGGTAATGCAACCAATGGACGATTATCCGAATTTGATAATGATGATGTTGGAGATGATGAAATCTATAAAAATAGACATAAATGTTATCGATATATTGTATATATATGATTTTTTAAAACTTACAATTGATGGTACAGGACTTGGAGCAATAATTAAAGGTATATCTGGCATAAATGGTGATTGAAACTAAAGACATACACATTTAAACTCTAATTAAAAGAAGCAAATTTATAACATACTAAATTTGAAGAAGTAGAAAATAAAGAAGATGTTGTACAACAATTACAGAATGATTGCATAGATGGTGGTGATAATGTAGGAAACTTAAAAAAAAATAAAAAAAAATAAAAAACGAATTACTAAAATATTAATAACATACCAATGGAAGAAATGTTGAATTGTTGAAATTCATCATATTGAAAAAAAAAACGAAAGAAAATCAATAGAAAATAAAATTCAATTATAATAGTAAACATTCTTTCCAACTCAATATATATATATGTTTCCATTCTAACTAGTTTACAAGTTTTGTTACAACTAAAGAAGCGGTATTAAATAGGAATACAATAATTAATACGAACAAGCATATTCTTTTATTTGTTATGAAGATAAGAGACAAAATCATGTTGAATGATATATATACATCAAAAGAAACACATATGATACATGTATTTTCGGTAATAAAATATATTCAGTCTTTATCTGTAAAATAATATTGATTGAATTTGAAATCATTTTGTCTTTATTTTGTGTCAATTGATTTGTTAATCAAATGATTCATATTAGCATTTCTTTTCAAGATTTATTGTAAACTAGTGAGAGAAGACTGAGCCTTTCCTAACTCAACATTCTAGGTTCGTTACTGTTATAAACTTTATCTTTGTAATAGAAGAACTAGAATTTTTTTATTATGTCCAAATGTTGGTAAAAATTCGCTCCTAATTAATTTCTGAAAAGATATTAATAAGATATTTTATTCATTGGATGTATATGCATGATTTACAATTCGTTGATTAGTTGAAAGAAGAGAACTACGAGTCATTATTACAATGATCAATTTATTGTCAGGACGAAATTCCAATTAATAAGATAATGTCTTATTAGCTTTTTTGAAGGTTGACATTTTTGAATGAATTTTTTCTATCGAAACATTTACATTGTGATTGATTTATTGCAAAAAGAAACAATCGTTAGTATCGATCACAAGCATTCGAGATGTGATTGAGAAGCTTGAACTTCAAAACATCGAAAAAATAAAATCATCATAGATGATTGTTTAATGACATTGTAACAAGATTATGATGAAAGTTGAATTCATATTCTAGCGTTCTTGAAAACTATTGAATTAAGATCACTCCTTGTTTTTTGTTTACGTATTTATTAGAATTTTTTCTTGTTCTGATCACACATTATGTGTCGCAATGACTACACATTTGCTCATTTCTCTTCTTTCAAATAATTAATTAACAGTAAAGTGTATCAACCAATTGAATGATAATTTGATATATTATTGAAATAAATATGAGCAATAGCACACAGAAAAATATAATTTGAAAAAGAAAATACTCATTTAAGAGTATGCTTTAAAGTCACACATTTGATGGCAAGTTCTTATATCAAGTAAGATCATCAACTATATATTATGTAAGATGAAATTCAAGCACTGAAGGGTATGGTAGATAGTGAGTTGATAGATTTCTATGCACCCCCATCTACATTACATTGATAGAAAAATTAAGCCTATAATTAAATCGATGAATTCATCGTCAATTAGTATAGAACAAATTTATTAGGAATGTATATGGTTTTAGTCAAAGCAGTGTCAATTGTTATAATTTTCTGAAAAATTTATTAATAAAGACGAATCTTCTATTGTATGGAACAGTTTATATATTTTCACTTGAATACATTTATTGTAGTTTTTTTTAAAGTATCTATGGTTGTTCATTTTCATAATGAGAGACATTAATTAGCTTTCTTAATTTAATGAAATATTTCTACGTAAAAATAATAGCCGTGAATATGAAAATCCATTATCAAAGAAACCAAGAATAAGTGTACCAAAAATGCAAATTATAAAAAAACTTCCAATTAAAAAACCAAATATCATTAAAAAAATGATCGCTGCATCTGGACCAGTTGGTTGATTAGGTCCTCTTATTCGCCCATAGTAATCATCTGCATACGTTTTTACATATCCATCGGTTACTATTCATCCAAAAAAAAGGAAGTTCATTTTTCTTTTCTCATCAATCAACTCACCTTTAATTAAAATTAGTATATTGTCAATACAGAGCAACAATTGAACAAGCATGAAAATATTTTATAATTGATTAAAAAACAAAAAAAAAAGAATTTTTCTCACATTTAACGCTTGCTATTAAATTTCAATACGTGTTATATTAGCAAATAACACTTTATGTGATATTTTTTCATTATAAGATTTCTCTTTAACTAAAATGGCAACTATTATGTCATGTGTTAGGAAAAAAAGTATCCAATTTATAAAAAAAAAATACTTAAAACAGATTCTAAATCAGTTATTTTAAGGCATCGGAAATTTCGAAATTTTTCTTGTCGTCATGTTTGGATAGAGCTCTCGTCTAGTGACTTATAATAATGTTATTTTTGACATAGTCATATGATGCTTTTCCAGTGAAAAAAACAGAAAAGTCTCCAAAAATTGTAATACACCAAAAGGCATCAAGTCTGAATATGTACCTAATTTGTTTTTCTTACTTTACTTGTCATCTAGTTAAACATGCTTTTTAAAAAACATTATTGAATAGTTGAAGAAAATTCATTTTTTCAATATAATAGCAACAAGGTCATAAATATGTGTTTGTATATTCAAAATTAGCATCGAATAGTATACTTGGAATGAAAGAACCGAAATTACACGAAAATTAGATATTATTCAATACATATTTTTGTGCTGATTCTGGATACTATCATATCGAAAGTATGAATTTTCTCCATTTCAATTTTTATAGATTTTTCTAAATTATTTGAATTCATAAGTTTCGCTACAAAAACATCGTCTGATTATGTCAATAATAACATTATGATGGGTAACTCGATTAGCACTGTCCAATTATGACAACAAAAAAAGGTTGCTCAAATTTCTAACGGTCAATAGTTTTCTGAATGTTCTAATTGAAAACTCAATCTATGGATTCATGTTTTTTTTTTTTTGTTTTTATATTTTCATGTAATAACACAAAAAATAGATATCTATAGCGACAAGAAAATTTATTTTCATTACTAATTCATTTTATACAATAATTTTCTTGTATCTTCATTATGCCTTGTCGATCTCAAAAAGTTTTATGTCATAAAAAAAAACCAAATTCATCAATGACGAGAACAGATCAGTTAATACAATTGAATACAAATGCATGTGATCAAACTCAACGTATATTTTCATTTTAATATTATATTATATTATTTTATTTTTCTGAATAGCTAATATAATTTCTCGTTTGGAATCAATTGGTAATTTAATAATCAATGAATTAATAGGATCAGAACGTAATCATTTAAAACAACAATTACTTACATCTTGTATTTCAAAGACAAATACAATTCATAATTTACCATTTTCTTCATCAAAAACAAGTTTAAAACAAGTATTAACTGATTTACATATACTTGATCGTCATACTCAACGACAATATCGAACAATTGGTACAGGTGATAATGATATAAATATAAGTACATCAACAGCAAATATCAATCAATTAGATATAACAACAACACAAAATAATAATACAAATATATTAAATGATGAAACTCAATTATCAACAGCAACAAAACGTAAAAAACGACAAACTAATCATGTAAATTTATTACAAACAAATGAATTGAAGAATACACCGAATATAATAACACGAACTATATGTACAAGAAGTTCAAAATTGAATAATGTAAATAACAATCAACAACAATCTAATCCTAGTTAGTTGAAAATATAATTTTAATAATAATAATAATAATCAAATTTTTATTCTCCATTTGAAAAGTCGATAGACTTTATTGTATCACAAATAGCTCAGACATTAAAGTAGCTCGTGATTTACTGTTTTCAATATTTTGAAAGAAAACAAATATGGAAAATGATGCCCTTGAAAAGTTTTCTATTACATGATGACTGTTAAGATAGTTATTTGATAAAGAAAATTATGATCTCTCTAGGTGGTTTACCATACTGATACAAGTGGGGACGTTGGTTTTCTTATTGTCAGTTTTAATTAAGTATTTCGCGGGAACAATAGATTTTTATAATATCGATTTGATTATCTCATGTCACTTTAACAAAGAAAACAAACACACTATCATTTATTTCAACATAGTCAAAACTTTCTACATCAACTCATTGCAAATTGACCAGTGATCAGTTAGCCGATTTCGAGATCTCAGAAGAATACATATAACTTAGCAAAGATATTCATCTAGAGAAATCATACATGTAAGGGAAAGTTTTCCAAGGCATCGTTTCTAAAACGGTCACTAAGAACAGATAACTGCTTGAATTTTATATTGATTGATACAGTTATCTGTCTTCTTTCAAAATATTGAAAACTGTAGATCGCTCGTTAGTTTATGCTTGAAATATTTGTAATACAATAAACTCTATTGACTATATGAATGAATAATAGTTATTCTTAATCGAACACGTAAACGTCGATCATCTTTAATAACTACACAATCTCAAAACAATAATAATAATGTAGTAGATAATATAATAGAAGAATCTCGTTTAAGTTTACAAAAAAATATCGGTACGTATATTTTTCATTATATTTTTTTATATTATTCATATTCTTTTATTAGGAAATGATGTATCTGGTATAAAAGTATCTCGTAAAAAACTTCAATCATCTGTTCCATCGTCAACACTTATCGAATGTACAAAAACTACAAACGACTTTTAATTTTATATTTTAACAGTTTTTTTGTTGCTGAAAATACTTTAGTTTAGTATATAAATAAATAAATAAATAAATGGCGCCATAAGAAAAAATAGAAATGGCGCGTTTCGTTAACAAGAATTAATCTTTAGTATAAAATAATCGATTTCTTTGTTTTTTTTAAATTCATTTTCTGCGTCCAAGTGTTTTTGTTCGTATTATTACGATTGTTTCGTTATTATTAATATATACATATATATAGTATTTTTGTTGTGTATTCATATTGCAACGAACGTCAATGTCTTACGATATGACAACTGGTACTGCGAAATTTGAACGGATGACAAAAGAAGAAAAATTACGTTTTTGTCAAGATCTTATTAAACAAGCTGCTAATTTAACTAAATCATCAGATTTAAGTGGTATTCGTTCGACAGGAAGTAAATCAAGTATTAGTGGTGTACGTTCAACAAGTAAATCAAGTAAAAGACCAGCTTCAACTAGTGGTACTCTATCGAAAAAAACTAAAAGTGGAACATTAAGTCATGATGAAAAATCAAAATTGCATAGTAAATCAACTATAGCTAAACAATCAGCATCAAAACCTATGGACAAATCATCTACATCACATAATGTTTGTGATTTCATATTTTTTTTCCTATTTTTCTTAATTTATAATTTCATCTAGCCACTAAAATCGAAGACAAACTTTCGTCAGCATGCTTCAGTTCGAGTTAGTATTTTTCGTTTTAGTTGATTATACTGTATATATTAATTTGCTTTTTTTTAGTCGGAAGATAACAAATCAAAATCAAAATCGAAAGCAAGTAGTAAAAAATCTTCTGTACGTACAGATGTTAAAACAGGTAGTGCAAGTGGTATTCAGTCAAGCATGAAAACAGGTAATAATAATGTTAAATTTTCTAAATAGAAGAAATTATATTCTTTTTTTTTTCTTGTGTTTTGGTGTTAAACATAAAACCAAATCAAAATCGAAAACTGCAAAATCTGGAACAGTTAAACGATCAACTTCAAAATCAGTATGTCAATTTCAGAGTTGTAACCGAATCGGTTAGAAAAGAATTTATAGATATGCCATAGTTTTCTGATAAAATTTGTTGAGAGTTTGGTTGCTCTTAACTAAATAATCAAACAGTGGTGTTTCAAGAACTTTTAGTTTTATATTGTTCTGTTCGTCCACACTGTTTTATTCCTTTAATCGAAGTATATTGTAGTTTTTTATAAAGTACAACTTGAACTAGAATTATATTATATATGTTTTGGTACAGATCACATGGATCGTCGTTCAAACAGAAATGTTAGATTTCATTCTGAGAAGACTGACGAGGGAGCTACCCGTACTCATGGACCTTTGGAGCTAAGTTAAGACTATTGTATTACATTTTCGATTCGTCTTTGGGTATTTACCAAAAAATCAATTTACGCTATTTCCATCTGAAGTTTCGCTAATAAATAGATCGAATGACAAGCAGAATATTCTGAAAATTTCAGCTGCAAAGAGTGTTCCTTTATTACAATATTGAGTTTTCCACAAATGTTCGTTTGCTAGAAAAAATTGAATTTACTTGAAAATTCAGTAACTCAAAAAAAGGAACGCTCTTTTCACCTGAAAATTTTCAGAGTATTCTACTAATGATTTTGTCTGTTAATGAACGAAACGTCAGATGCCAATAGAGTTATGTGGTTTTTTCGTTAAGTAGCCAAAGCTGGATCGAAAATTCAGTAAAATAGTCATAACTTGGCTCCAGAGATCCGCGATCTCGAACCATTTTAGAATTTTTCTAGTCTTATTGAAACCTCCTTGTACATTCAATGTGAGCTCAAACAACGGATATCACTATGAGCAGATGCCTCATAAGTGTGAAAATTTAATTGTTGAAGTTTAGCAATTAGCTGATGGGTAGATTACTCTGTTTTTTTTTGCGCTATCTATATAGCAATATCACCAAATTCATGTTTAAGAAACCTAAATGATCATCAGTCGGATCAAATCATTTCAAAAATCTTCGATCGGTTACAATTCTGGTCTATTGATTCAACCAATCAAAAGTTAATCTTTTTCTGTTACATTTTTCTTAGTCAATGCGTAGTAATAAATCAAAGAATAAACAACAACATCCATCTAATACGGCTTCACATTCATCAGTAAAAGTTGATGGTACAAGTGCTGTTCGTTCGGCTTCACATATAAGTGGTTTGTATTTGTTAATTAACTACACTGAATCAACTTATTCGATAATAATTATAGGTAAAAAAACAAATGTAAAAAGTGGATCAAAGACTGAATTAGGAGTAAGTTAAATAGAACTTTCGTTATTGAAATAAAAAAAAAAACATTTTCAAATAAATTGATCATAGGACTCGCCGTTCACTGCTGCTGCATCATCTGGTATTATTTGTTTTAAACTTTTCTGAATAGATAGTCTGTTGTTTCCTATCAGATATACACACAAAATCAGAAACTAAATCAAAATCAGCGACACATAGCCAAAGCCAACCAGTTGGTGGTGCTTCAAGCATTCGTTCTACTGGTAAAATTTCTATTTTATTATCTATATTCCATGTTAGAATAATAATTTTAGCTGTATCAAAATCACACAAGAAAACGAATGGAACTCAAAAGACAAAATCAGGCACTAAGAAAAAGGTTAAATTTTGCTGAATCACATAAAAGCACGAATATTTTTTTTTTCATTTGATAGACAATAGTTTCATCAGTTCGTTCAGCATCCAAGTCCTCACCGATGAGTGTCAAGACTGGTAGTAAAACCAAATCAAGTACAAAATCAGCAAAAGCAACAGGAAAACATCAAACACAACAATCAAAACATACACGTATACCAATAAAAGATCGTACTGAAACATGTGCTGTACAATTTGTACCAAAATTTAATTCAAGTTCAACAAAAAATCAAGTACCAATCTATCATCTTATTCGTCATGCATTTGGTAATATGGTACGTGAAGCTATATGTCAATTAGATAAAGAAAAATCAGGTGTTAGTTCTCAACAAATTATTGATCATATACTTAAACATTATTCATTTCCACAAAATATATCTCAAAGTGCTATACGTAATCGTACAATATTTACAATTAATGCTGGTTTACGTGCTGGTACACTTCTTACAGTTAGTCCAAATAAAGGTGTTCGAATTGGTCGTATGCGTCGTATCTATCCACGTATGCTTGGCTAAAAGAAAAAAAAAAAAGAATGAAAAAAAAGTAACTTTCCATTGTTTGTCTTTTCCTTTTGTATTTATACAACGAGAATATTATTCTATTTAAATAAAAGAAAACAAAAAGAAAAAGTAATGAAAACTTTTTTCTTTAGCTATTGTTCCTTTTTTCCTGCTTTTTTTTTTAAATTCATTTATCAAATGATTGTTGCCATTGAATGTCGTCTGTGCATGTTAAACACTTTGAAATAGACTGATGCATTTTAATTTTTCATGTCGCTGACAATAAAAACTACTTGAGAACATGTCATTTTGACAACCACTAGTTTGAATTTTCTTTTTCATAGACGAAGGACATATTTTATTTTTTGGCTTTTTTAAATTTAATGTATGAATAATGCTCGTTCATACAACATTGAATAATTGGTAATGTATAACATGATTTGACATGTTTATTGATATAGAAAGTACGCCATTCTGTCTCGCTCTCGCTCTCTCTCTCTCGCTTTTGACAAGAGAAAAATGCACAATAACAAATTAAGTAATTATATTCTGTCTTTTTATTGTAATTTAAAACCAAGTTTTAATATTTAAACAGGTACAATATTGATTCAATAACAATTTTTTAGTCTATCGTCGTAATAGAATTCATTAATCTTTTCATTTAAAATATCTTCAATATGTTAAAATGCATCACTTACAGCATGATTTTTTTGTTTTGCTACAAAATGAATTCTCTCAAATTTCTGTTAATTTACTTAGACTCATTATAATATAGGTTACTATTTAAATAAAATTCCATAGAATATATTTTTGTGGCTTTACTCATTTAACAATATATTGAAATAGAATAATAGAATAGAATTTATTCTATTTACTCAGTTAATATTGCAAATGACCAAGCAAAAAAAATGTTTAAAGTTTTCAAATAAAAATGCCTTTCATTTGAATACTTATTGTTAACTTGATCAAATTTTTAACATACAAGAAAAAAAAACAGTAGAATCTTCTCATATATTAATTAATAATTAATATAACAAATATTAAAATCTATTATATTTATTTGTCATTCATCAAATAAAAATAAATAGTCATTATTTATTTGATTTCTTTTCTCTCTAGATAAACGTGATGCTTACAACACGACGATCAACAAATCGTATTGATATATATGATAATAGAACTTTACTTCATGAATATGATACAAATATAAAGTCAATCAAAACAAATCTTTATTCACCATCACCACCACCAATGTCTTATCGTGATTTACGTTCAATTATGTTAAATAAAACATCATCATCATCAAATGTTGTTATTATACCTGAATCATTGAATTCAACACAAAAATCAATAACAAATTCATCAAATGCAATAACATCAGAAAATTCTCGAAAAAGTGCACATCGAAGAAAACATAAACGTCAAGGTGTTGATGTATATCGATCACTTGTACGAACAGATTCACGTTGTTCAGCATCATCTGAACGTGATATAACAAATGAAGAAATGATCATTTTAGCTAATTCATTTGTTATTGATCATATAACATCAACACCAACAAGTGGTTTTTTTCATCCACAAAATTTACCTAATATTCAAAGACATCGTTCTATGAATAATAATGGTCGAATAGGAAGTAGTCATACAAAATCAAGTTATACATCATCACCATCATTATGTATTCAACATCTTGGACGTAGACGATCAACAACTCCACAACAAACACATCGAACATCACCTATTGATGTACTACAATATGAAACAACTAATAATAAAATGACAATAACAACAACAACGACAACAAAAATTGCATCACCCATACCCGAATCACAAACTCGTAAACAATTACATGTGTATATGCCACATATAGTTTCTTGTTAGTTTGCAAGAATTATTTTTTTCTTCTTCATGTCACGAACTTTTCTCTTATTGTTATTTGCTTCAAAAAAGAAAAACTACCTTCTTCTTCTTCTTCGTCTTCTTTTTTTATTTTTACTACTCGAAAGCTCATAAGATTGTTGTGCAATCAAGCGAGAGTAATATTCAAAAAGGAAAAGTAGCAATGAGAGAAAAAATTTTTCTAAGCACATACTATGATTTTATTGATAATAGGAAATAGAAAACAAATCATATTAACTGTCAATTTTTTTGTTCGTTTCTTTTTTTTCCTCATTATAACATAAAGTAAAAATCTTCATTTTCTATTAATATATGTATAAATCAATTGTGCTCAACTATATAGTTACTAAAAAGCAACTAAAAAAAAAGAATGAACTGTTAATGCAGGTTTTTACTAATGCTTGCATTAGCACGATATAGAAAACACGAGAGCTTTCGGCCTGGTTGAGGGAAATAAAAAAAAAGTTAAAGAAATCTAATCATAAACATTATCATCATCGTAGTCGTCGGTCTGTTCTTCTCTCTCTCTCTTTGTCTCCATGTGAGTGTGTGTGTGTTAGCAATCATAAAACAGCATTAGTTCTGATATATTTTATCTAGAATGATTGAAACACCACAGGAAACAATTATGATGCTCAATGAAGAACAACGTTTTGCTCTTCATTTAATAACAAATTCAAAAAAATTATCTTTTGATCGTTATGCCTATTCACGTTATAAATATGGTGATAGTAATCAAGCTAAACAATTTGGACAAGAATTATGTACAGGTTTTCTAGAAAAATATCATGATTTTCTTCTTTCATCAAATCAACAATTTATGGCTATATCATCACCACGTGGTATTATACCACCGGCTGCCTATTATATATTTCAAACATTTTTAGAAAAATTAAATCGTTTTTTACAATCAAATGGACGTCCACCAGCAATAGAACATACAATACAACGTTTAAGTACAATACCAGAAGATTATTCATTATTATCAAAATGTGAACGTTTTGATCGTTTAGTTGATGAACGATATTCAATTGATAGTCAACCGGTGATAAATAAATTTTTATTATTTATTGATGATATTCGTATTACAGGTAATACGAACTAAGATTGAATAGATTCAGGATTTTTTAAAATTTAAACGAAACTCAAATTAACATTGATTTTGGAATACTCTGAATCACATCAATCCTATTTCTGGCAAAAAACAACACATAATTGATACAATATTCTTTTTCCATTTATTATTATTATTATTATTATTATTATTATTTTTCTTTTTGTAGGTATGCATGAAATGAATATTATTCGTTTATTAGAAACATCACAAATTTATAATTCACGTTTATTTATTTATTATGCACAATTAATAAATGATCAAGTACCATCATCATTTGAACATGAATTAAATCGATGTGCAATTGATAATCTTGAAACACTTCTACCAATCATACATAATCCAGTATCATCATTTCAAATAAATACACGTTTATTAAAAGAAATTTTACGTTCAAATTTATCTGAACTTGATCATTTTTTAAATTCAATCAGTATTGATCTCGTGTCAAAACTTTATTATGCATGTCTTGCATGTAATTATCAAACAATTGAAATATTTACTGATAGTTTAAATCATATGCATCGTTGTCTTCAACAACGACAAAATATTGATAATATAAAACATTTAGAATAAAAGAAAAACAAGAAACATATAATAATAACTGAATAGTTTTGTTTAGTAAATAATACATTATTGCATGCTCATGAATTCTCTTTATTTTTGTAATTATAGGAGACTAACCAGATAGCTTTTACAAGTTATATTTTAGTTACGAATTAAAAGAAAACATGATGAAAGATATGTTCTTATCGACGTCGACCAAAATATGTATCCCAATGATGTTTTCGTCCAAATAATTGACGTTCTATTGGAGCATGACTTACACTTTCATATGAGCGAGTTGTCGGAGTCATAAAAGCTATTGATGGAAATATAAAATGAGCTGCTCGTGCTGATACAAATACTTGATCATCATCGTCATCATAATTTTGCTTATTATTATTAATATTATTTGACAGTGAATATGGATCATCAAGAGTAATCGATCCATAACCATGCATCACAATAAGATATGATGCTAAATATATAAAAGAAAATGCTTTCGTATCAGTTTCTTGATTAATTTGTATAATTTATATTGAAAAACGAATGTTTAGTAGAGATTAAAAAAAAACACGAATACTTACCGATAATAGAAAGTAGATGAAAGCTTGAAACCATGATGACTATATACGCGATTATGGTTGTTCGTGTTGTCGATGTATGGGCAATTTATTTTTTAGCATTCATCTCGAGAAACGAGAGAGCAAGAATTAATTATGAAGAGTGGATTGATCTTGAACTAATTACATATGGCTTTTTACTCGTTTTCACAATACAAGTGAAAAAATTGACATTCACTATTATCTGTCACGTCATTCATCTCTTGTTTTTTATTGGTGATCATATCTTTTTTTTCTTTGTCTTTGGCTTTTCTCTATCTCTTTTAAACGCTTTTTTCTTGTGTAAGTTTTCAACCATCCTGAAATTGAGCCTAAACAATAGAATCTCTCAATAAGTCGAAAACATGATTATAGTTATTGGAAGAAATGCAAAATGAAAGATAAGAAAAGAGATCATTGTTAAAATATGCCAGATTGTGTATGTTACACTTAGACTTGTTGTAATATCATGTAGATAATGACAAATCATATATGTATATAGAACAATGCATATAGGCAAGGCATGCATATATATATGTATATATTAAATTACAAAAGAAAAAAAAAAGCCATGAACAAACAAACAAAATTTTGTCGTTTATATATCTATGTTGTCTCATCATCAATATATACAATAATGCCACTGTATGAGCAAAATGACTACTGAAAAAAAAAAGAAAAACAACAAAAGAAAAAAAACAATCAAACAAAAAAAAATCGTTTCTTTTTTTGTTTTGATCAATGACCAGCATCACAAGAAAAACGAGAGAAAGGCAAACAAATAACTAATTTCATCAAGAAGAAAAAAAAAACATAATTTATTGTATACCAAATGTATTTGTTTCTTCAATAGCTAATAATAATTTATTATATAATATATCATATGATGTATAAGATGGTAAATCAAGACGATTAAAACATGTATGTGCACGTGGTAATGCATCTGATATTCCCCAACGTTCAATACAAAAACGTCTTGGCCCATTTGAACCACGTAATGCTGAAAAACCTTCATATGGTATTGATGATGTACCAGTAACAAATTGTAATAATTTTAAACGTTGTTCATTATCAAAACGTTTTTCAACACAAAACCAAAACCATTCAATAACATGATGTTGTGCATGATAACCACCACGATATTCTGTATTCATACGCCAATCATTTAAATCAATTTCCATTGTACCACATAAAGCTAATTCTAATTCACGTGCATCAAACATTGATGAAATTAATTTATGATCACCAATTATTTCATAAAAACCACGTACAAAACAATCAATTTGTTCTTGTACACCACGTTCAATACGCCATTTAATAATTAAATCAAGAAATTCACGTTTATTACGTTCAGTAACTTGACAATTTTTTCCATCGGGTTTTAATTCTTTTTCAATTATTTTACCACATTGATCTTCATTAACATAAAAATATAAATCTTGATTTTCAACATTATTTTCTTTTATCCATAGTAATGATTGATAAAATTCTGGATCAAGAGATTCTAAATCAGCTAATGTAAATGATTGATGTTCACGTAATAATGCTTTATATAATGGACGAACAAGAAATGCATCAACAAGATATTGATTTATCAATGCTACAGCTACATTAAAAAGAAACAACCATATAAAGAATTAAACAGAAAAAAAATAAATAATTATCAAAAATCGTCATTCATTGATAAGAATATACCTAATGAGAAAAATGATTAATCGCTGATGAGCCCACGACACAATCTGCAACGTGTTGACACTAATAAATTATGGATACTCTGAAAAGTTCGTGATGTTAGTTTATTCCTGTCAAGATCAAGGTAAACGATTAGGGTGGGAATGAGAACTTTCCGTTCCTAAAGATGTCTAACTTTCTGCAAAACTTTTTTTTTTATAATCTCGTGGGAAATTATGACGGAAGATAAATTTTAATGGCTGCAAGCTCTATGTCGTATAGATATTCATACAAAGATGTCTTCTCTTAGATAAAAATCAAAAATAGTCGATGATTTTAGCGTCTTCTGTTGGATCTCGGCGATAAAGACATTTTCAGATCCTACCAAATTCGAAAATAATCGGGAACCATGATCGAGTTACTGCATTTTTTAACTAAAGCTATGGTACACTTCCGAAATATTCAGACAAACTGATTTCCTCATTTTTCACAGAGATAGAAAAAAAAAACAGAATAGTATGTGATGAAAATTTTAGTTAAGCAACAATATATTTTTGATATCTTTATTCAATGTTAAGCACCTAGCTCAAATTCAGATACTGATACACATGTATTCTATTCCAAGATTTTATCGATGAACTATAAATACAAAGTTATTCAAAACAGGACATGGTAACCTTCAGATTCAAGAAACTATTTTTTTAATAATGTCATTTTAAACAGCACAAAACTCTAAACAAACTGACAGGTTACTGCATTTGCTACATTCTTCTCTTGAAAATCTGAAAGTATCACAAGACGAAATTTATCGAATACTCGACTGAAAACGCCTTTTTATAGGTTTTTGCGATACTTTTAACTTTTTAAGAGACAATCATTGAAAATGCGATGGTTTTTCATTAATTTGAGAATTTTGTGCTCTTTAAACTGTTATTCATAAAAAATAGCTTCTGGTACCTGAAAACTATTATTTCAGATTATAATTCATTTATGAAATCTTACTATAGAATGCATTAGATAGAAAACTTCATTTTTATCAATAATAAACTGACAGCAAGAATTCTTTTCAGGGTATTCGTAATTCGTTAAAATCTATATGATGATAATTATCCAGACTTAGAAGTGACTGATAAGTTAGGAAACTTCTCTCATAAATATAAGTTTAGAATTGATTGTTTCGAAAAAACAATTTTTGAGTTAATATAACAATCTAAAACTTTATCCGATAAAAAAAAATCGACATTTTAGATTTCAACTACAATGTTTTAGTCTTTTTCAAGAAAGAAACTTTATTACTATCAGCAAATATATAATACTAACTTTAATTATTAATACATCTTGGCATGTATTACAAATAAATCATAAAGACAATACTAGAGCCTATCAGATTCAACTCTTGAAATTTTGTATCCGATGGGCTGTAATCGTCTGAGAAATATCTAGGGTGTGCTAATCATCAAATACAAATATCAGAAAACATTATGCTATCTTCGAGGCACCTATTCAGATTTGATAAGAAAATTTCATTCAGAGCATTAAAGTACGATCGACTAGTTTCGAAAAATGTTCAATAAGTTGGGTCCAAATTCAAAAATTTTAGATTCCATAAGCTCTAGTCAATAATATCTTGTTCATAAGAGCATCTTCGCTGTTTTCTCTCTTACCAAGCATTCGTCCACCAAAACGCATCCATTCTGTATAATTTTCATTAAATTTTGACATTGGACTTATTTGTAATGTATATTGATCACTAGCTGAATATTCAAAAAAACCATAATATGGATTAAAAAATTGTCTTGACATAAGTAAAAAGAATTCTCTTGATGGTCCACCATAATCAAGACCTTCTTCACCTGTAAATGTAATAAATAATTTATTTCGTTGTAAATCTTTTTTTGGTATTTGATTCATAAATTTTTCAAATGCATCAGCAAGTAAATTATTTCGTGATATAGATACTTTAGTTTTAGATGGACCTGTGGCATAACCTTTTGAATCAAGTTTTTTATAGAAAGCACGTAATTTTTGTTGAAAACATGGTCGACGCGATGATGATGATGAGTGTTGACTTGATGAACGTCGAGATGATGATGATGATGGTTTACTATGTTCAACAATAAATGTTGATGATGGTGATGAAGAAATAAATGATGATACTGAATGTGATGTTGTAACAGTAGCTGATTGTGTTAATGGTGGAATATAAGACATAATATCTTCATGAAAGACACTAATAAGTAAACTTAGATCAACAGAATTTGATAATGTATCAAGTGCTCGAACACCATCTGTACGTATTAATTGAATTTTATCACGTAATTTACTTGTTAATGGTACAAGCTAAATAAGAAAGAAAGAAAAACAATAATAAAAGAATAATTTTTGTTTTGTATTTACTTGATTTGCTTTAAGTAAATCAAATATATGTGATTGTCGCATAAATGCAACAACTTTTTCATTATAAGTCATTGTAATAAGTTCATGTGGTTTTTTATTTGTTCGAGATGATACGGAAGAATTCTCATCATTTCTATTCGATGGTGGTAATGCCATAGCAGCTATTATTGATTGTTGTTCATCATTATTTGGTAAACGTGGATCAATATATGTTGTTGAACGTGTATTATGATCAACAAAAAATAATTTTCCACTATCATCATGTTTAATATCCCAACGAGATGGTAATGGTCGTGTTGGATCAGCAAATAAATTAAGAAAACGTACTAGTTCTTTATTATGTTGATATCTTTTAAATAATAA